TTACATATTGGGCATCAAGGTCTATAGAGATAGATCAAGACGCTTGATAAGATTTTCAATGGTACATACCTTGACAAGATTTTGAAGGAGTTCAAAATAGATCAGTCAAAGGAGTTCTATCCTGTATTGTATGGTATGAAGTTGAGTAAAGACTCAAAACCCGTCCACGGCAGAAGATAGAGAGAGAATGTAAGTCATTCCCTATGCCTCACTCATAGGTTCTATAAAGTATGTCATGATGTGTACCACACCTATTGTGTACCTTGCCATGAGTTTGGCAAGGGGATACAATAGTGATCCAGGAGTAGATCACTCGAGAGCGGTCAAAATTTATCCTTAATTAGCTAAGAGGACTGTCAAAATTTATGGAGGTGATAAAGAGTTCATCGTAAAGGGTTACGTCGATGCAAGATTTGACACCAATTCGGATGGCTCAGAGTCTCAATCTGGATAGATATTGATAGTGGGAGCTATTAGCTAGAGTAGCACCATGCAGAGCATTGTAGACAGAAATTTGTGAAATACATACGGATCTAAATGTGGCAGACCCGTTGACTAAACCTCTCTCACAAGCAAAACATGATCACACCTTAGTACTATTTGGTGTTAATCACATGGCGATGTGAACTATATTATTGACTAGTAAACCTTTTGGGTGTTGGTCACATGACGATGTGAACTATGGGTGTTAATCACATGACGATGTGAACTATTGGTGTTTAATCACATGGCGATGTGAACTAGATTATTGACTCTAGTGCAAGTGGGAGGCTGAAGGAAATATGCCCTAGAGGCAATAATAAAGTTTACTATTTTATATTTCTTTATTCATGATAAAGGTTTATTACTCATGCTAGAATTGTATTGATCGGAAACCTTAATACATGTGTGAATACATAAACAAACACCGTGTCCCTAGTGAGCCTCTACTTGACTAGCTCGTTGATCAAAGATGGTTAAGGTTTCCTAACCATGAACATGAGTTGTCATTTGATAACGGGATCACATCATTAGGAGAATGATGTGATGGACAAGACCCATCCGTTAGCCTAGCATATTGATCGTTCAGTTTTATTGCTATTGATTTCTTCATGTCAAATATATATTCCTTCAGCTGTGAGATTATGTAACTCCCGGATACCGGAGGAATACCTTATGTGCTATCAAATGTCACAACGTAACTGCGTGATTGTAAAGATGCTCTACAGGTATCTCCGAAGGTGTTTGTTGAATTGGCATAGACCAAGATTAGGATTTGTCACTCCGAGTGTCGAAGAGGTATCTCTGGGCCCTCTCGATAATACACATCATAAGAAGCCTTGCAAGCAAAGTGACTAATGAGTTAGTTGCAGGATGATGTATTACGGGATGAGTAAACACTTGCCGGTAACGAGATTGAACTAGGTATGGAGATACCAATGATCGAATCTCGGGCAAGTAACATATCGATGGACAAAGGGAATAACGTATGTGTCATAACGGTTCGACCGATAAAGATCTTCGTAGAATATGTAGGAGCCAATATTAGCATCCAGGTCCCGTTATTGGTTGTTGACCGGAGAGGTGTCTCGGTCATGTCTACATAGTTCTCGAACCCATAGGGTCCGCACGCTTAACGTTCGGTGACGATATCGCATTATATGAGTTATGTGATTTGGTGACCGAATGTTGTTCGGAGTCCCAGATGAGGTCACGGACATGACGAGGAGTCTCGAAATGGCCGAGAGGTAAAGATTGATATATAGGACGATTGTATTCGAACACCGGAAATGTATCGGGTATTTATCGAAGTACCGGAGGGGTTACCGGAACTCCCCGGGGGGAAGATATGGGCCATATGGGCCATGAGAGGGGAGCACACCAGCCCACAAGGGGTGGCGCGCCCCCCTATGACAGGAGGCCGAATTGGGAGAAGGAAAAAGGAGGTTCGGCCCCCCTTTCCTTTCTCTCTTCCCCCTCCCTTTCTTCTCCGGTGAAATAAGGCAGGGGGCGCCACTTGGGGAAACCCCAAGTAGGATTCGGATCCTACTTGGGGCGCACCCTGGCTGCCTCCCTCTCCCTCCCACCTATATATATGTGGGGGGGCGCCTCTAGCACACCCGAGACAATTGCCTAGCCGTGTGCGGCGTCCCCCTCCACCGTTTACTCCCACGGTCATATCTTCATAGTGCTTAGGCGAAGCCCTGCATAGATCACTTCACCGTCACCACGCCGTTGTGCTGACAAAACTCATCTACTACCTCGACACCCTGCTGGATCAAGAAGGCGAGGGACGTCACCGAGCTGAACGTGTGCAGAACTCGAAGGTGCCGTACATACGGATCGATCGGAGCTAGAAGAAGTTCGACTACATCAACCGCGTTGTCAAACGTTTCCGCTTACGGTCTACGAGGATACGTAGACACACTCTCCCCCTCGTTGCTATGCATCTTCATGGATAGATCATTGCGTCAATTTTTGTTTTTCCATGCAACGTTTCCCAACACCACTGTCATGGAGGCTATGTCTGCATCGTCCGTGGGTCTCCCATCCTTGGCTTTGTCCCGCAAGCCGGAGAACGTCGCTCAGAGGGACCGGCGATGGAGGCAGCGGGAGAGGGAAGGCGGCGTCGCAGGGAGAGGGTGTGGACCTCGAGGGGACGACTATGACTCGTCGCCGCTCGTTCGGTCGCGTACAGGCCCGGGCACCGGCGGCGCACCGGCTGCCCATGCCCTGTTCGACGGAATGACATAGCAGGACTCGGTATGTTTACTTTGCTCCTCTTTCGATCAACTTTGCATATGTGATGATCAATGTTTTGCATAGACCTTTAATTCATTTGAAATCATGATAATTGTAGGAATTGATCACGTCGACATGATCAATGGTAATCATGATCCGACCCAAATGCAGTATGAGTTGGGGGATCCAACTTGTCCTATGTTTGAAGTCGGCGGCACATCAAACCCCAATCCAAACAAGAAAAAGAAGGGAAAGATGCCCAAGGCAAGAAGTCTGGCATTCACAATTTTTGAGGACATCTTGTTGGTTAAATCTTGGTTGGCCACAACACTGGACCTCATACATAGCACGGAGCAAAAAGGCAATCGGTATTGGGAGAAGATCCACAAGCACTATCATGAACACAAGCATTATGTGGAGCCGCATCCTATCGCCACCAACCGCAATGTGGCATCTCTCCAACAACCATCGGGGATAATTTAAGGGGAAGTGAACAAATACGTCGGCTACTATGCACAAGTGCTTGGCCGCCCTCAAAGTGGGATGGGTATGTCCACTCACGTAAGCATAATCACTTCATTTTGTCATAATTTGAATTGCTTGTATTTTTTGTTGCATTCTCATCATTATACATGCATTGTTTGCTAGATTATGATGGCGGCCACTATGTATCAAGAGACAGAAGAAGAAGATATTCGGTTTTAGCCATTGTTGAGTGCTATTGAATGCAAACCAAAGTGGACACAATTTGTGGCCGATCTCAAGGCCGGCAAAAGGAAGAATGATGGCTCAAGCTCCGACCAATCAACTGGGTTAGACGACGAAGAGGAAGAAATTGTAGGGGAGAATGGAAGAGCCACCATGCCAAAGGATAACCGGCAAGTGATGGGAAACAAGTAGGAGAAGGCGAGGGCCTCTTGTGATGCTGCGGCTACAAAAATGTCCTTCAATTGGACAGACATTTTTCCTTAAAGGAGAACAAGAAAGAGGAGAGGTACAAGCTCATGTTGGATGCACAAAAAGAGAGGATGGATTGGGACCAGGAGAGGGCGTTCAAGAAGCTACAAATTAAGGGTCGAGATCGAGTTGGAGAAGAGCGAAGCGGCGATCAAATGGGAGATGGAGAAGGCCCAGACATTTGGAGAAATTGAGCTTGAGAATAAGAGGTTGCAACTTGCTCGAGACGCGGAGGATGCCAAGATAATGTTGACGGACGAAAGTACCTTGGATGAGCATGCAAAGAAGTGACTTGTGGGAATGAAGAAGATCAACAAACGTAGGGACTACGAAGCAAGGATGACTGCGGAGCAGGAAGCAAGGTTGGCAGCCAAGGAGGAGGCAAGGTTGGCCGCAGAGCAGGAGCATGGATGGTGTCCGGCGAGTGATCCGGCCAGCGAGCGATCTCTCACGCTCGGACTTCAATTACACTTTGGCATGTCCGAACTGTCGAACTATGATTTATTTTGCTTTGTCGCATTTGGTAAATTGTTGAATTGTGATGAATTTGTGCTCTATGATCGACGTGCATGCATTGCATGGATTTAAGGATTCACATACGAGGAGTCTGGCTGTCCGGCAGGCCAAATGAGGGGCCTCTCGGCGCCGTCTACAGATGCGCCCGGGGGCATATAGGGAGCTGGATTTGCCAAATCTGGCTGTAGATGCTCTAATAGGAACGGGTCAGAGACATTAGCATATCTGCAATCTCTATCAACTTCGCAACATTAGCATATCCGCAAATGTGCAGAAAGCATAATCCCCATACCAACATGCCATTCCAAGAAGAAACAAACAAATAAGGCTAAAATGCCTTATAGGATCTTGAACTTTTTTGAACAGTCAACAAGTCCATAAACTTATACAACAAGATTAATAATATGGGGCTGTATATCCATCAGATGAACGAAATTTTTCAAAACGTCAACTTTTGTGTATTAGCCCATAATACTAGAATAGAAAAAACAAAATCAATATTTTATAAAAGATAAAAATAAACAATTACTAAAACAAAAAATATATTTACAATATATAGAATTTCTGGAGAAGTTTTACTCTGATAGAGAAAAACAAGTAGAATATTATATATACAGGATAAAAACTAAACCAGAAAATTTAGTTTGCAGAGGTTGCACACTTTGTACAAAATTTGCACTATGCCGTAAAACATGCAAGAACTAGTATAAAAGGTGCAGTTCAGGCCAACCAAGGAGCAATTTTAGGTGGCTCAGATTTACGAAAATTTCAGGCAACTGAGAATTAGCAAATTCGTAATAATATACCTCTTTGTATATTCTTGCTGCAAGATAATAGTTCCCGTTCTTGAACGCCTCATGCGCTTTAGATTTTGCACTAGTAAGCATGGCTTTCTGAAACATTGAGAGCAACCAAATGATATAAAAAGATTCATTACCACACCTAGTCCCTTCCCTCATGTTATAACTACTTTCTCCCTGAATCAATGCAATATCTCATCTCAATATCTACCATGTATAAAGTGGTCATGAATATTAAACCTCCTGTCACGCGGTTTATCCATAAAAATAATAATAAAGCTTAGTATCCCCAGTTGGAAGAATTGTTTGATTTGTTTCAACTTCTACATGATTCTACTGTGATCCAACCCAAATTACTGATAGAAGTTAGTCTGACTTATCTCAAATTCACACATTTCAAATGTTCTCTTATCTGCATTGCTTATGACCCAATCTTACATCCTCTACATCCCCAAGGACAACAAAGCCTTCAGTCACAAGCAAGTTGGAATAGGCTACCTCTGCAGAATCCCCACAGATCATAATTTCATCACTTAAAACTAGTATTTCTTCTTCGCCAATTTATTAGACATTATTTTACCTTAGTTGTTAAATGCTCATCTCTGTCCAAACTGATTTAAAATCAACACGGGGTGTTAACCCTGGCTAGGTTAGTCCTTACAAGATTCAGAAGAGGTCAAACACATAAACCACAGGGATACCAGTAAATCACTATGCACGTTGCATATTACAAACCTAACATGCAATGTGCCGTCAAAGTCATGTCAGAAAGACTATACGGTTTACAAGCTTAACAGAACCGATCAAGGTAAATATTTAAACTGCTTTCAACAAAACTGTATTGCTCCCAAATGATTAGTGTGCAACACAATATTTTCATTTCACCGGCTCATAGGTCATAGTTAAGAAAAGCATGCAATAAGACTGGCGCACACTTAACATGCATGGTCAATACAATTCTTAGCCACCAATTGTAGCTAAATTTTCAAATATTCACAGAGAAAGAGTGGGCAATGAATTTCAAGCTCATTTCTGAAGTAACAGCAATGAATTTCAGAAATCCCAAACTGGGAAGGTCTCTGTCTGAAAGCTAACAGCCAACATACACAGTTGCACACAAACCATTTAAATTAATATAATAATGGCACTCAAATTATACCTTCGCTGGACGCACTGATTTTACATGCCTAATGATCCCATCTACACTCCAGTCACATACATTTGGAATACGAGAAGTGACCGGAAATAGAATCTCAACATCTTCACGCCTACCAGAGCGGGCAGCAATTTCAATAGGAGCTCGTCCTAACTGCCATGATAACAAGCAGGATTAACTTCACTCAGTATTTGGCAATGGAAAACGACAAACTTGCAGTATGCAAGATATATGAGCAACCATCAGGCACATACACATGTTATAAAATAAAATAAATTCTAGAGATCGGCATAACATTAAGTGCTACAAAAGCCATGTAGCGTATCTTATATTGTAGCAATGAGCACATAAACATGTGATAGGACAGCAACCACAACTCAAGAACTATATTGTTAACATATGTGATCTAATACTACCCTGACAACTTCTAGGATGAAACAGAGAAGTAGTAACTCTTCCTGGTATTTGCAACCTCTGCTTCATTTTTCCTCCAAAATGGTAAGAACAACTGTTATATTTTTATCCCAACAACCCAAAGAAGTTCTTTGCAAGTTCCATGTAGAAAATTTTGTTCGAAGTGGAAACTCTAAGGTATGTTCTTCCAATCTAGTAGATAGCCTAGAACCATCACGTGCCTCTCCAAATAATAAAATAGAACAGGGGACTGAATTTCAAATGTACCTTTGATGTTTCATGTATTTTAATCCTATTAGGATAAATCGAGACACCCAAAATACACACAAAATAGACCTGCCAATAAGCAAATTCATCCAGATGTTTGTCTCAAGTTAACAGTTTGAAATGGAAAACTAAAAATGAACTTTTACTAGAATATCTTATATTAGGTATAGACACAAAAGCATGCATGTAACAACAAGGTACAACAGCTTACACTGTCAGGAACATTAGCATCCGCACCAGCCAGAACTAAGCACTTCAGGATTTCAGTTGAGCCACTAATGGCAGCAATGATTAATGGTGTCTCTTTACAATTACCATCCACATCAGCACCAGCCTAACAATAAAAATCTGGGTTATATGCTTCATACAACACACATACAAATTGCGTCACAATCATTTGAAGAAAAATAAAAAAATTAGTTGAGTAACATCCTCTTCTTTTTTTTGAGAATGCATCCTCTTTTTTCATTATTACATAATGTGTAATTTGATGTACGAAGTAACATACCTCAAGCAGGAGCTTCACACATTTCAGTGAGTGCACAACAGTAGCAATAGCAAGAGCTGTATAACCAGTACCACCCAAAGTTATCTTATGCTGTTGAGAGACTAAGAAATTAGAAATTGCGTATAACTAGAACTAGCATATACTCCCTCCGTCCCAAAATAACTGTCTCAACTTTGTACTAGCTCTAGCACAAATTTGTACTAAGCTCAAGACACTTATTTTGGGACGGAGGGAGTAATAAATAGCAGATATAACCATGTTACTGTGAGTAAAAACTTTTGTCAAAAAGATGAAATAACAAAATTAGCATACACAAACATTGCAAAAGTAAATGAATTAGCTTCTCATATTATCTATGAAAGTTGGTGAATCCTCATCATCCGTGATCCTTCTGGGACATCTGTGACCATTCCTAAAAATGCATACAAAAGAGAAGTAGAAAAAAGAAGGGCACGGCTGAGTTTCCAGCACAGTAAATCCGTGGACATACAAGAGGCAAAGCTAGATCTTAACAGTCATTGTGCATTGAACGTCAAGCACTAATAAAAATATAGGAACACTGCAAAGCAATATCTTACCGATTAACACACTAGAGTGATACCATGTTAAATCATTGGTAAGCATGCTGAATTCAAGTTGTCAGACGTATCATGCAACGATGGTAGAAACTGAGATTATGCATGGATAATGCCGTATGGTGCTCGGAAGCATTTGCCGCCTTCTCAAATAATTTTTTTCGTTCTTCAAAATATTCTCACATGTAGATGGCTCCTTATCATGTTCAAATTTCATGTTTTATGAAAAAGTTTATGTTTTTTTATTGGCGTGGAAAAAAAACAAGCACCTAAAAAATGCCTTTTTAGCTCCTGATTCCTGTGTTTTCATGCAAACTACTCCCTCCGTATCAAAATATAAGACGTTTTTAGGCTAGTTTAGCCTACAAAAACGTCTTATATTTCGGTACAGAGGTAGTACAAGTCAAGAACAAAATTACTAGCACTTGAGGGTACATGATTCACGCGTATATACATGCAAGATTTTTATTCTTTGAATTTTGGACGAAAAAAAAGAACATGTAGCTCGGGTGCTGAAAATCTGTCTCCAGTTATGCATATGCTAGGAAAAAGAAGCATGTTGTACAGCCAAGTCTCTAGAATCCACCAACCTAAAAAAAAGGCTTCTACACTCCACCTGGTCACTGGTGGAATGTGTGCAGTGAAGCAGGGAAAATTGGTGGCTCGGCGCTCAAAAGGATACTAAGGGTTGATTAGTAGATGAGAGAAAATGAATTGGCTTGAAAAAATATCAACAATGCTACTCATATTAGCAAGAAAAATATATGAATGAGAATATGGTTTGAAAACTGGAGCAGGTGAAGAGCCAGACTCCACCTGATTATAGCTTATAGCTAGAAGGAATAAGAACAACAAGTGCAACATGACAAAGCCAGCCACATGAGAAAAAAACTCAAATAGGATAAAGTTGATGGATAGGGAAACACTGAAATAAGTATATAAAAAAACTATATTGTCGATCTTACCATTCCAAATAGCATGAAGGTTCAGAAAAAGAAAAGATGGGAGTGACACTTACGTCTGCATGGTGGTCTAGCAAAACTTTCACAATATCATCCCGCCCATCACGGGCAGCAGAATGCAGTGCCGTCCCACCAAGATGTAGTGCATCAACATAAGCTCCACTGGAGAGTAAGAGCTCAACTATTTCACAGCTTCCTGGATAAAAATAATACAGGATATATTTTAGTCAACTGTAGATTTTTGTTGTAAGTCCTTGTATTCACGCCATCCTATCTAACAATGTGCTAAGAAACTTCATAAGAAACAAGTCTAAATTAGAGGACATACTGAAATACAGAGTCAATATGTCTTGTGAATTGATTGAGTGAGTATGCATGATGTGGACAAAAGGGCATTTCAAAAAAATTGGACTTGGCTAAAATAAATTAACAATGTCGTGAAAAAAAAAGATGGCCTGCTAGTTATATTTTCTCCATGATATGATGTCTATGGGGGGGAAGGAAGAACTTTCGCATACAGCCAGCACCATACTCACTTTCCTCGGATATTTGCCACTATAAAGAATATTCGGTCAGAAATTTTTACTCCGTGTCTCACGGATATATAGGTCCTCGCTCCTCACACAGTAGTACACAGGGAGATGAAGAACAATTTATGAATGATGAGTGTGTGCAATAGATACTTATGCGTAGAGATCGATACTACCTGCTGCAGCAGCAAGGTGGAGGGGAGTACTCCCACTGTCGTTGAGCTTCATTGTAGCAGCACCTTGATCAAGAAAGTAGCGCACCAAATCCACATTCTGACAGCCAATCGCAACAGTCAAAGGCGTTTCGCCTGTCAGGGACAACAGAGCAGAGAAGCTTAGCACAAATTCAGCCCATCCAAACGAACAACTGCCTGGATGGAATGAACGAGAGCCACTCTCTAATCAACGAAAGCTGGGATGATTCAGTGCGGGAATGAGAGCTCCTGTACTTATTACGGAAAGGAAAGGAGAGGGCTTGAAGGAAGGCGACGCACCCATCGGGCCTACGTCATCGACATCCAGCCGGATGTCCTCGACCAGGTAGCGGCACACGGGCAGGCTCCCGCCTAGGGCCGCGGTGTGCAACAAGCCCATGCCGTAGCCGTCCCTGACCGCGCCCATCTTCTCAGCGAGGCGACTGCCTTCCGCCCCCCTTCCCACCACCCTCGCCGCCTCTGAAATGCAAAACGAATCGGCGCCAAAATCAGCACGGAAACAGACGGGAACCGGAAAATGAAGAAAGTAATCGCGGACGCGGACAGAGGGAGGTAGTACTTACTCTTGACGAGGTGGAGCTCGCCGTCGAAGGCCGCCTTCAGGAAGCCCTGGTCGAAGGAAGGGTTGGAGGTGCGGCTAGGGTCCCATGAAGGGAGGCCGCCGCCGCCGCGGTCGAAGGCAGCGGGAGGGAAGAGAGGCGGCTGCGGTGCCATGGCAACGGGGTTGGCAGTACGTAGGGTTTTAACCAGGGGTTGTAGACGGGGTCGGGCGAGGAGGAGGGAGGAGCAGACGGGAAGGGAGGGAATGCAGTGGAGGCCGGGGAGGACGACGCGTGCGAGAGAGAGACCTCCTTTGGTTAAGGGAGTTAACTACAATGAGATTGCCTCATCCCCGCAATACCTAAAATCAGTTCAGGTTAAACTAGTACTCCCTCGGTTCCCAAATATTTGTGTTTCTAGGCATTTCAAATGGTCACAACATACAGATGTATGTTAACTTATTTTAGAGTGTAGATTTATTCAATTTGTTCTGTATGTAGTCATTTGTTAAATCTTTAGAAAGACAAATATTTGGGAACGGAGAAAGTAATTACTAAATATTTTAATAATGACATACAATAGATGGATGTCAAAATGATTCTCATGATATGAAAATAGAACTAAGATTGTATATTTGATACGGTTCAAGGTAATTTTGTCGATCGATAGGATGCTAGTAAGTGAGCAAACTTCAAGAGATCCTATAATAGACTGAAACAAGCATACTAAAGTTAAAATCTTTGTTCCAATGAAATGGTCAAATAATTTAATCTCATCGAGAAAAGCAAAGATACTTGTATTTACAAGAAAGCAAGTGGAGCATAATAATATTTCTAAGGGTCTTTTACATCTGTGTCCCTAACTCAAACCCACTACTCATATTTGTCCCTAATTTTGAAGCATGCTTAAATTTGCCTCTCGCCATCAAGTCACCTTATAGAAATGCCCTTCCATGCCGTTACAGTCCGGTCAAAGGACTTTGACCATCTGGTGAACAGTAACTCCGTGAACAGTAGATTTGAAAAAAACTAGCAACAAAAATTAAAAAAATCTGAAATTTTGTGGGATCGAAGATACTCGAGTGCGCAAGGTGCGTGCAAATTTTCGTGTTGTTTGGACATTCCACAAGCCCGTGAGAAAGGAAAGAATTTAATATGTATGCCCGTGAACAGTAAATTCAAAAAAATAGCAAAAAAATACAAAAAATCTGAAATTTTGCAGGATCGAAGACGCGCGGGTGTGCAAGGTGAGTGCAAATTTTTGTGATCAAATGACATGCGAGCTCTAGTAAAAAAAATAGTGCATTTTTTGAGCCAAATTTTGATTTCTTTTCTCGATGAGCTCCTGCAATGTACAAACACAACAAAAAATTGCACGCACCTTGGACACCCGAGCGTCTTCGATCTCGCAAAATTCAGATCTTTTTAACTTTTTGCTATTTTTTTGAATTTACTGTTCACAGGCATACAGATTAAATTCTTTCCCTTCTCACGGGCTCGTGGAATGTCCAAACACCACAAAAATTTGGACGCACCTTGCGCACTCGAGTATCTCACAAAATTTCAGTTTTTTTTATTTTTTTGCTATTTTTTTCGAATTTACTGTTCATTAGACAATCAAAGCCCTTTGATTGGAGGGTAACGACACACAATGGTATTTCTATAAGGTGACTTGATGGCAGAGGGGCAAATTTAAGCATGCTTCAAAATTAGGGGCAAATATGAGTAGATAATTCGAGTTAGGGACAGAAATGCAAATGGCCCTATTTCTAAACACTACATGTACTTGACACATTGTTAATTAGAAATTATATTAATTTCTTGACACAAATTAAGACTTTATTAAAACTAGTTTTCAGTAAAGTACGTAATCATTGGTATTAGGCATAATAATCTTGGAGATTGTAGTGTCTAATCGGCATTAACCAAAATACGTATTGACAAATATTAAAAGCAGTTTAGTATGAAAACGTCAGGAAGAGTTTCTTGTCAAAGTCACATGAAAGAAGTTCTTAGCAACAATCGGTATCTTGAAATACTGACGAGTGAAATACATGATTTCAATCACACTTGTTTTAGTTTCATGATATGCATGTAAATAACTAGATATGATCATACTCGAAGTAAGTTGTGAGTAAAGTTACCGAAATGGTCAAATTGTTGATCATAGGACAATAGTGAAAATGTCGTTAAGTATTGACGACATGTTTCTTGCATTCGGAGAAAATGAAAAGATTGTTGTAAGGAGTTGTATCCAAACAAGCTCGTTGTAAGTAGTACATCGATAAAATCTTCATCTATGCTCCAAAGTGATTTTTTGATTTCAAACTAAATGATTTATGGTGGCACAGTAAGTTAGAATTGGTCCAAGAAAGTTATTGTCTTGAATTCTGTTAGAAGTATGCCCTGGAGCAATAATATTGTATTATTATATTTCCGTGTTCATAATTTAGAGTTTATATTTTATAATATAACTGCTATGATCCTGGAATATGTGATTTAGTGGAAAAATCATATGTACGTGTAGAATGATAAATGGTAAAATAAGATTCCTAATCTCGCCTATAAGAATAGCTCAAGTGTTGTTGGTGATTATGTTTTCCGGATCGTGAGATATCGTTAAGTGTAACGATAGTCTCAAAACAACACTAAGAGTATGAGTTAGAAGAACGATCATACTGAATTGATCCAAACTTGTTTGTTATACTTTGAGATAATATCGTCATGAGTCAATTGTTATAACATGGAGTGTTAACTTGTGATTTTACTTCCTTAGACCATGAGAGTATCGTTGTCACTTCTTGTCGTACGATCAGCTCTAGGGTTGCTCAAAAATCATGACTAACTTGATGATCATAACGATAACTTACAGGTTCATTGGAAAGTTTGACAAGGGACACGATAGCTCAAGTGGAATTTGCTCCTCCAACGATGGAGAGATATTCTTAGGGCCCTCTCGGTGTGACGACATCCATCATCGTCTGGCCAGACACAGGTGACTTCATCACGGGGATACCGAAACGCGACAACGAGAAAGGGGAACAAAACGGCAACAAGGAGACCTATACAATGAGCATGTGTATGACTCAATAGGATACCGATATATCTCACCTCGAGTTTTGTAGAGTATCACGAAGCGAAGGGAACATCACATGATAACCAAAAGGTTCACTCGAATGTCATTCGTGTAATCATAGGGATCGATATGGACGTCCACGGTTTCGTTGTCGGTCATTGAACGAATGAGGTTTCCTTCATGTCTATGGTTTACCGAACCTACATGGTCACAAGTTTAAGGTAATCACGACTTGCTGAGTGTTAGTAGGATGATAGTATCGAGGATTTATTTGTGAAATAGTTTCTTTAATATTTAGAATAGTTCCAAGAGGAACCGGAGGCGTTTCAAAGTCACCGGAAGGGTTTCGGAGTTTATCGAGCAATACCGGGTGTTACCGATAACCAATATATAAGTGGAGAATGTTTTTGGTGATCTTAAATTATATATAAAAGGCTCTAATAATTGTTAGAAGGCTTTTATAATTAATTAAATATCAACGGGCCTTAAAAGGCCGAGAGGAGGAAGGCAACTTAGGCCACAAAGGCCCAAGTGGAGGAGACGCACCCCCTTTCGATAGGGGAGGCCGAATTTGAGTGGGGGAGGAGTACCCCTCTTGTCCGACACCCCAAGGAGGGTCTTTCCCTCCTCGATGGCTACCCCTCCTTCCCCCTCTAACCTATATATAGTGGAGGTATTTGCCCTTTTCTTCATACAAGTTTTAGGTGCCTCCTCAACCCAATACTACTAGTTCTAATTTAGATCATTACAGCTAGTTCTATTTCCTCTAATCCTCATAATTAGAAGCCCCGAGTGTCTCTAATATTCTCCTCTAATTCTCAGGCAGAGATTACTTTTGGACGGTGAAGTGCTGCCGGATCATGAAGACTGTACGCTTGCAAACTATAGAACGGTCGTGCTTTCGATGTTCGGTTCGAGCGATCGTTCGAGGGCGGCTCGTGGGATCATTCATCAACGGTTCGAGGGACTCCAAGTACAATCTACAGTGACTCGTTTGCTTCCGCTACATACTCGGAGTTGGTAACAATCATGACCCAATCCCTTAATGCACCTTCATATTGTTCCTGGGTGTTCATAGGCTGATTTTTTTGTTTTCTACTATGTTTCGGAATAGTGGCATCATGAATGGTTTTATGAGTAGGTGCACGTTGGGATCTAGATCACATGTGGATGTGAGTGTTGATGTTCTTGATATGCTTCCCACGAGTGTTGCTTCATGTTAGTTCATTAACGTCATGGTGTAGCTTTTGATAAAATTTTGATAATCGATCGACTCTGGTTGTCGATGATTTGCTAACAGTTATTTGGGCTACATCATAGTCAAGAATAGTGAACCGTCATGATCACAAGAGGGCAATGAAGATTTTTGATCTTCTAGGGGTCATACGTATTGACGAAGTTTAGTGTGGGGCTAGAGATTTTTAACTAAGTCTCTTCCCTCACACACCCCAAAAGTTAATCTAGCAACAAGGATTATCACTTTTGTGTGTGTACGTAGGTAGCTAGTGTTGACCGTAAAACCTAGCAACCACATAATTAAAATTTGCTAAAACTGATTAGATGGCATCTAACTTGGTTTTGCAGGATTGCATGTGATATGGTATAGCCTTTGTCATGATAATAAGTTTATGTATGTGTGACACCCCCGATTCAATCATACACTAATCATACACACAAACGTGTATGATCAAGATCAGGGACTCATAGGGAGATATCACAACACAACTCTAAACACAAATAAAAGTCATACAAGCTTCATATTACAAACCAGGGCCTTGAGGGATCGAATACTGAAAGTGCTAATTATTGACTAGAGGGGGTGAATAGGCAATTTTTATGTAAGTCTTCAAGACATGAAATGTCTTCTGTAAGTGCATCTAGTGCCACCCCTAGTTGGTTTTGGAGTATTGACGACAAACTTGGTTGAGGGACTAATGTGTTTGTGAGAATTGCAGGATAACACAGGTAGTAGTCCCCTCATTGATTCAGTTTACCTACCATAGATGACCCCTAAAAATGTATGAAGACATTGAAGACAATGGTGGTTCATGAAGACATTCACGATGAAGATTATGACCTGTGAAGACATTCACTTGAAG